AAAATTGAAAAACTTGACAATTTTTATCTAAATAATGTCCCCATTATATATTTAACTTGTAAAACAAATATTCTTCTAAAAGCTTTAGAAAAATAAAACACTGAAAGCACCGCCCTTTAATTTATTTTTTCTAATAGTATCATTATGTAGGTCCATGGTGTGACCAACGCTTTTCAATCATAATATTTTTAAAAATAAAAAAAAACATAGGAGAAAATCAATCTTTATTCATTTATTTATTGGGTTATTTAATACAGTATACATATTTCTGTTGTTCAACACACTGTGGACGATTGAAAACAACCAAACACACACAATACCAAAACATAAGAAAACTCACTCCCTATCACAACCTATAGAAACAGAGAGTCAGAGACTCTTATTATATTCTTACAAGACGAGAGTTAGAACTGTGTTTTTCGCAAAACAGAAGACAGAAGTTAAGAGAGACAACTCATGGCAGAAGAAGGAGCAACATTGGAATACACTCCGACATGGGTTGTTGCTGTAGTTTGCACTGTCATCGTTGCCATTTCTCTCTTTGTTGAACGCTTTCTCCATTATCTTGGCAAGGTATGTTTATTAATCTCTGATCTCTTTCTTCTATATTCATGGCCAAATTTGTTGTATCAATCTTTATCTTTCATGTGCATCTCATTCTCTCCTACAGTCAATACATATTTCTTCTTTGTTCTTGCAGTTTTTGAAGAAAAAGAAACAGAAACCTCTTTTTGAAGCCTTGCTAAAGATTAAAGAAGGTATATATATAGTCATTCTCAACTGCAGAGCGAAAGACGGGGAAAATGTTTTATCTGTTGTCAGTTTTTAGTTTTTATTTTTCATATATATATATATAATGGTGATGAATGGTGGGTGCAGAGTTGATGCTGTTGGGGTTCATCTCACTGTTACTGGCAGTGTTTCAAGGAAGAATAGCCAAAATCTGCATACCCAAGGACTTGGCCACTAAATGGATGCCTTGCGAGAAAGATGAAGAGAAGAATGCTTCAACTACTGCCCATTTTCAATCCTTCTTCTCCTTCATTTCACCTCATGGCACCGGTCGTCGCCTTCTCGCCGAGGCCTCTAGTTCCGAAGAATACTGCAGCGCCGATGAGGTAACCAAATTATTACATACAATCTTGTTAATAACGACTTCCTATGAAAACATTTTCTATTATGAGGAATTAAGTTTTGTTGGAGTAGTTGACCTCATTTTTAACATATATTATGTTACACATGACATGTTGAAAGAATTAATATTTATTTAAGTAGAATTAATAATTTCGTTTCAAAGATTCTTGAGGATGTTTTTGTGTTCAGATTTCTCAGAATCTGACCACTCACATGGATGGTTTGAAGTTCGCATTTGCCTTTCCACTTTATACATGTGTTTTGAGACAAAGAAATGAAAAAGATTTATTGGTATTCCACCTTAACAGCTTGCTGTTCTTCTTTTTGTAGGCCATGAAAATTAAAATATATAGATGATAATTAAAAGACAGAATGATACTGACAATTTGGCTCTTGACTTTGCGTGGTTGTATGAAAATGCTCTTAATCATGTCAAATTGCTATTGTTGTAATGACTTCAAATGTTTTAAAATAAAACCAATAATTGGTCTATTCTAATCCCAAGTTACCTACCTGTCTTTAATAGGTTTAGCTCATTTTCCAAGAAGAATACAGAAATAGTTTTTTTAAGTTTGTAAGAATGAAGAAAATAACACACAAAATTATCTCAAATGTTGATATATATATATATTAATTAGTTGCACCGAGGTCCCTCACCTTCGCCTCAAAGAACAAATTAAGGTCTTTGACACCAGATCCTCTTAATTTAAATCTGTCATCCCTGGTGTAGTTTTGTGTTGAAGGGCATTATTTCAATGGAAAAGAATGCTGCAAATAGTCTATGATGTAAAGGGCCTGTATATAGAATAATATACTTACATAATTAAGTTTCACCAATTAAACTAAACTTTCAGTGCATTACATCTTTAAGTGATGTATAAATTCTACTCTCATTAGAGCATGAAATCTTGTTTTAACTTGGTGATTTAACTCCATTGTTGGTGGACAACCATTTCAGAATTGCGACATTGTGGGTGGACAACCATTTCAGAATTGCGAAATCTTACAATTTTCTTCTTACTTTGATTTAATTGACAGGGAAAGGCCCCATTGTTATCTACCACAGCGTTGCATCATCTTCACATATTCATCTTTGTCCTAGCTGTTGCACATGTGACTTTCTGTGCTCTAACCATTCTTTTTGGAGGAGCCAAAGTAAGTTTAATTTGTATCCTTATATTGTCAAAGAGCTATAATGATTATTGGCATTAATATTTAAGTCCTCTATGGTTTAGATTCGTCAATGGAAACACTGGGAAGATTCTGTTTCAAAAGAGGAATATGATGCAGAAGAAGGTAAAAAAGCACATTCTAACATACAAGAGCATAAATTATTGGAATTCCTTGTGTGTATTTCTGCTTAATCTGCTAGTTTATATTACTTGTGCAGTTCTTAAAACAAAGTATACCCATGTCCATGAGCATGATTTCATCAAGAATCGCTTTCGGGGTGTTGGCAAAAGTGCTTTTCTAGGTTGGTTGGTAAGTCATCAGAGGTTGATGCAAATTTTTTTGAAAATAACAAGTTATAGAAGGCAGCTTATTGATGCAAAGAATCACTTTTACTTTTCAGCACTCATTTTTCAAGCAGTTTTATGGATCTGTAAACAAATCAGATTATACCACTCTGCGATTAGGCTTCATTATGGTAAGCTAGCTAGCTAAAACTATATGGAATTTTCAAGTATAATTTTCTACTTCCTTTGATGCTGTTTTCTTTAGTTTTAGTTAATTTTTCTGCAGAATCATTGCAGGGGAAACCCAAAATTTGACTTTCACAAGTACCTGATGCGTGCCTTTGATGCCGATTTTAAGAAAGTTGTTGGAATAAGGTTAGCCAAATTCTTTTAAAGCTTTCAACATCAAATGGTTTCAAATTTTATTCTCCTTAGAAGGTGATTCTCACTAATTAATCGTTGATTGCATTCTGGCAGCTGGTATCTTTGGTTGTTTGTAGTCCTTTTCCTGTTGCTGAATGTTCACGGTAAGCTATTTCGTGTATACATATGACTTGTTTATTCTACGTATATGCTTCAAATCATATATATATAGCTGTTGGGCCTGATACATGAGGCACAATTTCAATTATCTATGCAGGTTGGCATGCATATTTCTGGATAGCCTTCATTCCAGTCATTGTAAGTGATCTCCAAATTTAATTCTCTATCATTTCCCGCGACTAACTGACAAATTTTCAAATTCCTATCAACTCTCGCATAGAAGAGTTAACTCTTACTCTTAACAATTCAAGTATAGATTTTCAAGTTCAAATTCTACATCCACACCAAAGATTTTTCACTATTTATGCACATATACTCAGCCATTATTGAGATTCAATCAAAATGATGTGCATATAAACTGTAGACATGTCATTTTGAAGATATAGTCAATCATGATTGAGACTATGTAAACCTTGGAAGTGAAGAAATGTGATTTATGTTCTGTTTCTTTTTTTCTCTGTTTGCAGCTTCTACTTGCTGTAGGCACTAAGCTAGAGCATGTAATCAGCCAATTGGCCCATGAGGTTGCTGAAAAACATGTAGCAGTTGAAGGAGATTTGGTAGTTAAACCTTCAGATGATCACTTCTGGTTTCACAGGCCGCGCCTTGTTCTCTTACTCATTCATGTCATCCTATTCCAAAACTCTTTTGAAATTGCAGTTTTCTTCTGGATTTGGGTAATATTTTAGTTCTGAAAGCCTGGCCACTGATACCATTCGATTCACATAACATATTTAACTCTGAATCTATGCATTGTGTTACAGATTCAATATGGTTTTGACTCCTGCATTATGGGACGAATTGTTTTTATCATTCCAAGACTCGTCCTCGGGTAAAATTATATAAATAATTTCTTGCCTATAATTCTATATGCTTACACATAAATTAATTAACTCTAATGTATTCTAATCTGCTATTTCAGGGTGTTTGTTCAGTTCCTTTGCAGCTATAGTACCCTACCACTTTATGCACTTGTCACACAGGTGAGTTAGGATCATAACTCTGTAAATTCTGTGATTTACATAATAATTCTAGTTAGGCTGACAAATCTTTTTGTTGTTATATTTGCTGTAAAATGAAGATGGGAACTTCATTCAACAAAGCTATCTTTGATGAAGATGTACAAGAAGGGCTTGTTGGCTGGGCTAAGCAAGCAAAAAAGAAAATGGGATTGAAGAAGGCAGCTAACAATGGCCCTACCCAAGTGGGCCAGAAGCAGACTTTTCCCACTGCAGTTCAATTGGCTAAAGTTAGTGATGATCAGAAGCAATCTGCAATGGAAGAGGGCAATAATGCTGGCGAAATTACGCCCGAAAGAAACTCCAATGGAGTACACAAATGAAGAGCCTCATTGTCATGCTGATCTCCCCTGAAGCTACGGCTTAAAACTTAGTCAATGTTACCAATTTTGGCGATTCCATATCATAGTACATACGCAGCTTAGGCTAAACAAGGTTTCTCAAATATTGTATGATAGTAGTTTCTTGTAAAAAACTCTTATCTTTATTTGCTAAATCAAAAAGGAAATTTAGACTCAAAGTGTTGGGGGTGTCTGCAATATTGTCCATTCTTATTAATTATGAACTTGAAATTTGATGCTTTTTTTGTTGTTGTTTTGAAAATGACTTTAAACTACCAGAATTGGACTAGTCAATGAGTACACCAAGTTTGTCTACTTTAAACTTACCAAATAAACCAAAAAAATTTGCATTAATTTAAACTGTAGCCAGGAATTTTAGTATTCCAAGAAAGAGGTAGATATCGACAGTAAAAACAAACCATTAGTTGGAGCAACCTGTGAGTGTGACTGTGCGAGAAATAAAGCCCACACACATCCAATCTTCACCAGGCTTGACATCAATCATTGATGACTCTCTAATTTCTTTCAAAATATATGTATGTGTGAACGAATTATTGCAAGAAAAGAGAAGAGTCGATTATATTTATGGCAAGTGGAGGAGGAGGTGTTGAGAAAAACCCAACGTGGGTGGTTGCTATAGTTTGCAGCTGCATTGTTGTCATTTCTCTTGCTTTTGAACGCTCCCTCCATTACCTCGGCAAGGCAAGGCATGCCTTATTTATGAGGTTTTTTTTTTCTTTTATCTTCTTATGCATGATATTGATGATCTTGGGCAATTTCTTCAAGTAATGATTTGTATATCGTTTTGTAGTTTTTGAAGAGAAAGAACCAGAAATCTCTTTATGAAGCCTTGCTAAAGATCAAAGAAGGTATTTTATATATAGATCATATAGTCCTCCTTTTCTGCAAACATGTACCTTAAAATTTGTGAAATTTTGTCTTTTAAGGGATTCAACTTGACTGTTAGTTTATATATGAATGTTAACTCTTGAGAGTGTGTTCATGTTGTGGTTATGCGATACAGAGTTGATGTTATTGGGGTTCATATCACTGCTACTGACTGTTTTTGAAAATGTGATTACGGATGGGATCTGCATACCTAAAGATTTAGCAAATAAATGGTTGCCTTGCAAGAATGATACTAAAACTACTCTCCACTTTGAATCCTTCATTTCTCCTCAAGGCATTGCCCGTCATCTTCTCGCTGAAGCCTCTAACTCTGGAAACAAGTGTACTGGAGAGGTAAAACATAAATATACTTAAGATTTATTACTCAGATTAATTTATTTAGCATGCTATAATTGGAAGGTCTAACAATTATCTTCTTACTTTACTACATTAACAGAATGAGGTTCCTTTGCTATCTAAGGAAACACTGCATGAGCTTCACCTATTTATCTTCATTCTACCTGTTGCGCATGTAACTTTTTCTGCTCTAACAATTCTATTTGGTGGAGCAAAGGTAAACTAATTCAGACCTATTGTCGTTCTTACTTATCTCTAGTGGTCTCTCAAATATACTTTTAGTTAATTAGTGTTGAAAAATTAGAATTTGCTCTAATATCATGTTAAAAACTAGAGGAGTAAAAAAACAAACAAAAAAGAAGAATCATAAACAACATATATAAAAGCATACAGTATTTCATATGGTTAAACATAACTTACCTACATCCATAGATGAGAGGGTTTTCACTATAATAATATGAATACGATACAAGTGTTTCATCATATTATTAACCTAATACCTTTACTTAGGTGAATATCCCGTTCCTATAGTATTTAATACCCTTTGGTATTTACTCGATACTCATAGTACTCTTACATCAAAACCCCTCGTATCCTCGTATCCTCACATTCTTTTTTTTTTTTATTCCCTCTTTTACAACCTTGAATTGATTTTAACCCCTCTATTTATAGGTAAAATAGGATATTCTTTTTCTACTAGGATTCGTATTTCAAATCCTAATAGGACTTCTCTAATTTAGTTCATTCTCCTATTTTAACTCTAAATAAAATCCTAAATCAATTCTTCTTTCCTAGTACATCTCACAATAAAAAAGGAAAACAATTATTTTAGATTACAAATTCTTAAACTAGAAATTTGCCTAAAATGTAAATCCCTTTTTCTTCTTGTTTGCCTTTTCTTCTTGCTTCCCTTTTCTTTATTAATTATCAAAAAGTGTTCACATTCCAACACTCCTCCTTGAACCGTTTGATAATTCATCTTCTAAGCTTGTTCTTCATTATCTTGCTCCTCATTTCTTCTACAACTTTAGCCTACCACCCTTAGTGTTGGCATCTTCTTCTTCAGCCTACCACCGTTGGCTTCTTCTTTCCAATCTTTTATTGGAGTCATCTCTTCTTCCTCCACTCTTTGTTGGAGTCTCGATGACTTTCTCTCACCGATCTTGCTGCAGGCATTCTTGCAGACCATCACCTTGCAATTATCGCTTCATCTTCCATAAGCCCCTTCTCCTATAGGTCTCTTAATAAAATAAGTTTTGATACCAATTGTTGGAATTAAGAGCAATATACTTAACACTTTTTCTGAAGAAAACAATGAACTCTCATACTTTATTAATCAATGTTTAACTTCTTTTATACAAGAAAAGAAATACTACTCCCACTTCAATATGGAAAAACGAAATCTATTTTCCTAGTTAAACACAAACAAAACTCCTATGAAATAATATTCCTAATCAAGTTCTACTTCCCTAATTCAACTCATACTAGAAAAGGAAAATACATAAACTCATATTCTTATTCCTAATTAAACTAAAATCCTAAAACGGAAACAGACTTAAACTAGAACACTTGCTTGAATTTTTCGTTTCTGCGCTTCCTTTTCTTCTTTTCTTCATCAAGTCTCATGTGTGTCGTGGCAATGATCCTTTTTCTTCATAGTGTCGCATGATGCCTCTTGGATTCTTGTGTTGCTCCTTTTTGGGCATGTCGCGACATGAGTCAACTTACGCCACGACATGAGTGAACTTATGCCGCGACACATCCAACTTTTGTACACAACCCAGCTTTTTCCCCTTGATTCTTCTACTATGGCTAAGTTAAGACTCACCAAAATGGGTTCAACTCTTAACACTCCTCCTTGAACCCCTTTGGTGCCCATTTCAAGCAAGTTCTTTGACATTTCCGCTACTTAAAATTTGGAGCCACCATACTTTTTTTTTTTTTTTTCACTTTCTTTGACTTCTTCACTTCTTGACTCACATGATACTCCTCCTTAATTGGCTCTAACATGGCGCTTCTACAAGTTTGATCAATCTTCTCAAGAGACCTCATTCCTCTTGCTCCCCCATAATCAACCCCTTCATTTTCTTAAGGGTCTTTTCTTTTCTCCATGTTGCGGAACTTAGAGAACTCAATCTATGTTGCCTTCCTACTTGGCAACTCCCATATGCTTTATCTATGACCTGTACGGTCAGTAACATCGATACTTTCTCCTCCTTACTTCTAAGGGCATCAACATCCATGGCACTCCAATCCACTGTAAAGCTTCTATTTCTCATTGGCACGTTCATAAACTCTACATCATTAGAGTCTTTTACTTTGCACACATTGTTTGTAAATTCAAACACAAACCCTTTTTGTATCATTTGTCCAATACTTAACAAATTATGATTTAAATTAGGCACAAAAAGAATATCTGAAATTAATTTCATACCTTTTAATGTTGAGATAGCAATGGTACCTTTTCCTTTGATTGACAGTTTGTCTCCATTACTTGATCTCACCATTCCTTTCATGTCCTCTAATTGAGTGAACATCTTCTTCTTTCCAGCCATGTGTTGAGTGCATCCGTTATAAATGAATTATGAATTGTTTTGCTCCTTAGCATCCACTATCATGGGAGTGAACAACAATTCTTCTTCTCCCTCATCTTCTTCTTTTGCAATGTTTACTTCTTGATGTAGTTCACTAGTTTGCTCTTGTTGTTGATTCTTCTTCTTTTGATCACAATCTCTCTGAAGGTGACCATATTTATTACAAAACTAGCATGTGTTTGGCTTATTCTTGTATCAATAGCTTGTGTTTTTCAACAGGATCTAGTTTAGTGAACATATTAGCAGGGTTATGTAAACCATCAACTTTTTCAATCTTGATTTTCCCTTTTTTGATCATTTCCTAATGAAATGAAGGCGAACATCTATGTGTTTGGTTCTTTCATGGAACACTAGGTTTTTACAGAGACGGATTGCACTTTGGCTATCACTATTTATCTTCACTGTTTATTGCTCAATACCCAACTCATTTATGAGACCTTTCAACTAGGTAGCTTCCTTTGTTGCCTTTGTCAATGCCACATACTTTGACTCTATTGAAGACAAAGTAACCATATGTTGTAGCTTGGATTTTCAACTAATAGTATTTCCCCACAAATTGAAAACAAAACCAGAGGTTGACTTCCTCCTATCCACATCTCCTGCATAATCTACATCAGCAAAACCCTTAACATAATTATTATAACTTTGATTCTTCTTAAACACAATGCCCACTGATCTGGTTCCCTTCAAATATCTCATAATCCATTTAAAAGCCATCCAATGAGACCTTCCTAGATTGCTCCTAAACCTACTTACAAGACTTATAGCAAAACCCAAGTCTGGTCTTGAACACACCATCAAGTACATCAAGCTCCCCAGTGCACTTGCATAAGGAATTTCTGTCATCTCCAGCTTTTCTTCTTCAGTTTGTGGACTCTGCTCATGTGAAAGCTTCAAATGGGCTCCAAGAGGAGTTTGGGCAGTCTTTGCATCTTGCATGTTGAATTTTTGCAGGATTTTCTCAGCATAGTCCTGCTGAACTAACTTTAGGCTTCCAAGAGCTCTATTTCTAATAATAGAAATTCCAAGAATTTTCTAAGCCTATCCCAGCTCTTTCATTTCAAACTTGGTATTTAGTAACTTCTTCAACCAAAGCAACTCAGTTTTATCATGGTATGCCATAAGCATATCATCCACATACAATAGTAAAAAAAATTTGAGTCAGATTAAAGATTCTTTTAAAATAAAAGTAGTTGTCAAAATTACATCTCTCAAATCCAATTTCAATCATAAAAGAATCAAATTTCTTATACCATTGTCGTGGTGACTATTTTAAACCATATAATGACTTTTTTAACAGACAAACTTTACCTGTAGCACTGTTGTATCCTTCAGGTTGTTTCATTAAGATGTTTTCTTCCAAATCCCCATGCAAGAAGGTTGTGTTCACATCAAGTTGTTTTAATTCCATGTTGAATTGAACTATAAGTGAGAGTAGCACCCTGATGGAAGTATGCTTGACCACTGGAGAAAAGATTTCATTATAATCAACCCCCTATACTTGTGTAAATTCTTTTGCAACTAACCTAGCCTTGTACCTAGGTGCTTCCTAAGATGTGAATCCTGGTTTTCTTTTGAAAATTCATTTGCATTTGACCACTCTACTGTCCTTTGGTTTATCAACCAAAACCAGGTGTTATTCTTCATCAAAGAATCAAATTCTTCTTCAATTGCTCTCTTCTATTGTAATTTTTTAGGTCTTGAAATTGCTTCTTGGAAGGCCTTAGGCTCATCATTCATCTCTTCCTCCACCTGAAGTGCATAAGTAACTAGGTCTGCATAACCTAATCTATTAGGAGGTCAGATTGTTCTTCTAGTTCTATCCCTTGATAACTAATAATCTGTCAAGATTGATACATCTCCAATAGGTGCCTCTTGACCTACTTCATGATCAACATTTGGTTCATTCTCATGAACATTTAAGTCCTCAACTCCACCTTGATTCAGACCTAGACTAAAATTAGAGTCCTGCACTTCTAGTTCTAAGTGATCTAATCCTAGACAACGACTCTCTGATACATCAGATTCACCTTGTAAACCAGGTAGAATATCTTCTTTGAAAACAACATCTCTACTTACAATACACTTCTTAGATTCTAAATTCTAGAACTTATAGCCTTTAACTCCATCTAGATATCCTAAGAAGATGCATTTAATGCTTTAGGTTTTAATTTGTCCTCCTTTACATGAACATAAGCAAGACACTCAAAAACTCTAAGGGTGCATTTGTTTTGTTATTTTGGATAGGATTTTGGGAATAATATTGGGTAGTTGAATAAGGTGAGTATTATGAGGTAAAATTTA